TCTTCATTGTAATTTTATTGACAACGAATTCCATTCTCCTCTAACAAATTCTGTTCACCAATGTCATAGTATGGATATCTTTCCACTAAATCCTGAACCAAGATCTATTTTAACCATATCATGAATCCAGATACATAATTTCTGAACTATATCATGAATATTTTAATTAGATGCTGAACCAAGATATATCTTTCCACTTTATCTTGAACAAGGATATATTTACAAGACATATATTTCAATTATATCCTGACCCAGGATATATTTCCAACAAGATACTGAACCAGGATATATCTTTCAACTTTATCTTGAACAAAGATATATATTCAACAAGATATTGAACCAGGATATATTTTTTGACATATAACTTTTAACTAGATCTTGCAGAAGACAAAGGTGCAATTTATTGAATGAAACTACATAGATTTACATTACTACAAAGACCATTCATTAAATACAGAAATAAAGAGAGGGGGAGGGGGTGGGGTTTGGTGGGCAATAGGGAGAGGGGAAAGGGCTGGTAGGCAATGATGGAGAGGGGGGGGGAAGAGGTTCTAGGCAATGAGGGAGGGGATGAGGGGGTTATAGGCAATGAGGGAGGGGATGAGGGGGTTATAGGCAATGAGGGAGGGGATGAGGGGGTTATAGGCAATGAGGGAGGGGATGAGGGGGTTATAGGCAATTAGGGAGGGGTGCCAGGCAATAAGAGAGAGAGGGGGGGAGTGCTGCAATGAGGGAGAGGGGGAGTGGTGTGCAGTGGGAGGGAGTGAGAGAGAGGGAGAGGGGGAATGGGAGGGGGAGTGAGAGAATGGGAGAGGGAGTGAGGGAATGGAGGGGTAGGGAGTGATGGAGGAGGGAGGGAGTGATGGAGGAGGGAGGGAGTGATGGGGAGAGGGGGAGGGGTAAGGAGTGATGGAGGGGGGAGCTCCCCTGGGCTTGTCATTGCTTGTGTCCGTTCAGGCAGTCGTTTTCGTTGGTGGGCAGTCACCTTCGTTTGTGGGTGGTTGTCAACGTTCGTGGGCGGGTCGCCCTCGTCTTGTTCGTGGGCGGGTCGCCCTCGTCTTGTTCGTGGGCGGGTCGCCCTCATCTTGTTCGTGGGCGCTCGTGGACGTTCGCGCAGGTGGTCGTATTTGTTCGTGGATGTTGGTGGGAGCTCGTGGTCGTTGGTGGGAGCTCGTGGTCGTTGGTGGGCGCTCGTGGTCGTTGGTGGGCGCTCGCAGTCGTTGGTGGTCGTCCGTGGGTGTTCGTCTTCGTCCGTGGTCCACCACCCACACCTTCATCCATCGTCGTCTTCATTTTTAGGGCAGTCGTTGTGGTCCGCCAGGCGAAACAAAGACGACCAACGACGACCGCTGTCGTCGTTCGTCGTCCGGTTGCCACGTCGCAGCTAGCGACGTGGCACCTCATTGGTATCAGAAGGGAAAAAGCTGGGGTGGTGACTGCTTACCAGGCTGGGTACGGCACAACCTCGTCACCGTCGTCCTCGCCTGCCGTCGATCTCCTTCAATGTCATGTGTTTGCTGGGGGTTGGTGACGTGGCGCTGCCGCGTCGTTCTTGTGGTGCCGGGGTGGTTGTAGTTGTTCCGTGACAACGTTGTGTGTGGTCGTGCGCCGTCAGCATCCTTGTTGCATTGCGGTGGGTGCGCCATGGGCGTGTGCGTCGACTTTCGTGGGTGCTGGTTGTTGATTTTTGTGGGCGGTGGCCATTTGTGTGTTGTTTGTTGGGCAGTCGTTGTCGGTTTGGGCGGCCAGGGTTCTTTGCAGTGGTCGGTTGCGTGACCTGGCATGACGGCGACGTGGTGGTGAGGTGGAGTCGTTGGCATTGACAGAGTGGTGGTGAAGTTGTGGGTTGAAGAGGAAAGGAACGTCACAGAGTCCCAACAAATGAACAATGTCACAGAGTCACACTCTGTGACGTTGTTCATTTGTAGACGTAGACGTTGAAGTTCAAGATCACGCTCTGATCACGCTCACTAAGATTCTGAGATTACAAAAGTTTGTAGTCTCAAAAAGCTGGTATTACAAAATTTTATAATGAAGAAATTGAACAGTACAAGCTTTTGTAATGAAAAAAGAGGAGACTACAATTTTTGTAGTCTCAAAAAGCTGGTACTACAAAACTTTGTAATGATAAAAGAAGATAATACAATTTTTTGTAGTTTTTGTAGTCCCAAACAGTGAACTACAAAATTTGGTAGTCCCGAAAAGTAGACACTACAAATTTTTCTCTGTCTAAAGAGCAGATGGTTTAATACTCTGGGTTCGTTCTTCAGGAAACAGTTGCAAGAAACTAATGACAAAAGGAATGACACAATGGTTTAACGTTGATCGTCGGAAGCTGTTCCACAATGCGGATACAGGCAAGATGATTCCTAGAATGCTGAATACATTCATTGTACATTTCATTTGGGACAAGGGGATCACAGAGCTCGCACAACGAGAGTTTCATCACCCACCCGAGAACATGCGGATCGTCAATGGTGTCTAATGTATAATAGCCGCAGTCGATCCGTAATTTCAGTTCGGAAACTGAGTTGTCACCAGGAACACAAGAAGATTCCTTCCTGTGAACTTGGCATTGGTCATGGCGCCCAATTTATTGTGTTGTAGTTCAGACACAATGTCTGTTGTCAAGCGGGAACTCACAGGTTGCCCGTTACAGATATGAGCAATCTTCTTCTAGTGCATCTACGATGTGAACAGTGATGAGATTGACACCGATT